ATACCAAAACGCGGTTACATGTCCATATGCTCCAACTATCGCGGCATCAGTCTCAAAAATTTAGCCGTCAAAGTGTTTGCGAACATCCTCCATACATTTTCCATTGGGCGCAATCTCCGCACTCGTCCTAACCAAGGCGGATTTCGTCCAGGTGGAGGATGTATTAACCAGATCTTAATTCTACGCCGCATACTGGAACACAGACACCGGAATACGCAGATCATCACCACCTGTTTCATTCGTATCAAGACCGCCCTTGATTCCAACGACAGAGAAGCCTTACATCAAACCTTGCTGACGGTCTCCCAATAAAGTTACTCGATCTGATCAAGGCCTACTGTAGCACAACATCAGCCCGAGTAAAAGCCGTTGGTGAACTGTCAGATTTTTTCCCACTGACTTGGGGGGTTCGAAAGGAATGCCATCCATCCCGGTTTTCTTCGACTTCTTGATCGACTGGGTGATACATCAATAGATTCCACCTGACAGTGGATTGCAACTGAGCCCTGAACTCAGAGTACTCGACCTGGAGTATGTCGAAGACATTGTCGTACTCGGTAAAACACCTCAGTCACTAAGGGCAACGCTAGACCGAATCACCAGCTTCGCAGCAACTGCTGGTCTGACGATTAATGTACACAAGACGAAGTTCCTGAATAAGCACCTTGGCACGGCACTACCACATTTATCAGAGGTCAACCCATCGAAGAAGTTAGCTACTCTAGTTACTTGGGCTCGAATATGCTAACCAGCGGACAGGCCGAAGAAGAAACCAAGAACCGAAACGTGCAGGCTCGAAATGCATTTAGGCTGCTATCTAGACCATTCTGATCTCGTTCAGACATCAGCTTACGTACTAAACTGCTGAAATTTAGAGCATCAATCAGACCGGTGTTAGTATATGCGTGCGAAACATGGCCTGAGATAAAGGCAGACAGCCTATCGCTCCAATTGTCTGACCGCTGGTATCTTCTACGTCTCTTAAGAGTCTCGAATTTCTAATGTCGAGCTATATATACTATCCAAGCACCCTGCACTTCGCCGGTGGATGACGGAACATGTT